ATAAAGGACCGATGGATTTGTCATCACTGCTGTTTCAAGGACGGGCTGATGGAAGGTGCTGCAAACACCAGAGGACACATTCTGGAAGCGTGGGGGGTGTGGAGAGGTGACCAGGCCTCAGAGAGCAAAGGAGATGCTTTTGGAGGTAAAAAAGGGCTTCCAGGTCTGTGCTTGGGGGCACTTGGCTGGCTGTGAGTTGGGGTGTGTTTTTCTGTATGTGCACAGCCTTGCAGGGCAGCCCAGTGCTCGACACTGAGGCCTGTGGGAATCCCACTGGGATTGTGGGAAAGCTGCTGGAAATGGCTATAGCTCCTGCTTGAGAACATCACTGTCACCCTCATTTCTTTTAATCTATATTTTAAACAAAGTACCTACAGAGGCTACAGGGAGGACTAGGACCAGGGCTTCAGCATCATCAGTTGCCCAAGAGAATCTAGGGGGAAATCAGTGCCATGCAGCCGCAGTGGCAAGATGGGAAACAGGAAAATGAGGTCAGGATTACCCACTCAGGATCCCTGCAAGAATCTCAGACTCCCAGGATCTGGCCTTCTTGAGACATTCCCCCACTCTTTGCCTTGGTCATCCAGAGCCTCCAGTGGCAGCAGTGATGCTGTGTGAGCAGAGAGGACTCAACACCCAGGAGGGTCAAGAGAACCTGAGTGTGAAGATGAGGTTTTTCATGTGGTGTCTCCTGAATTAGCAGCTCCCCATCACAGAGAGGAACCAAACTCATCCTCCCCTCCCCTCCCCTGGAGTGCAATTCCCACCACCCTTGCAGTAGCTCTGCCATTTGTCTCATCACAAGAAAAGCCAGCTTGACTCACCAACAAAGTGTTTAGTTTGTATTTCCTGATTATCATTTTTCTGCTACTATAACGAATTAAAACAGTTCACTGTGCTAGCAAACAAATATCAGAGCTGGCACAAGGTGAGAGAAGGAAGCACATGGCTGGCAGAGACAGGAGGGGGGATTCAGCTTCCTTTTTCAGCAGCACAAGGGATAAATTTGGCTCAACCTGTAATGTCAATCCATACCCTGACTGTTCTGGTTTCTCTGCATTCAAGCCTCTGTCTTTGGTTGTTCTCTCCACATGTGCAGCCTTGTGCATCTCATTAATATCAGACGGGTACTGTCCTGCTCCAGCCATACAGTGAACATAGTTCATATTTACATCGTCTTAGACTTTTCTTTCTGTCCATTTGCATGACTGAGTGGCAATATCTTTGTCCTTAAACAAGCCTTTTTGCCTAGAGGCTGCAGGGAGCCCTCCTGCCCCCAGAATCCCCAGGCCACTGCACACCAAGCCCTTTCAGCTGAGAAGCCAGTGCCCTGTGTGAGGCATGCTCCCATCACAGATGAGCTGGATGGAGAGGCTGAGCAGAGCCACTGGGACGTTTCTGGGTGCAGGGGTCCTTGTCTCCCTCCCATGAGCTCTTATGCTCTCAAACATCATCTGTATGCTCATCACTGTGAAATATACCCACAATAATGGGTGCTGCTGCCAAGATACCTTGTAAAACAAAGGGAATAACAAAATTTTCCTCCACTGGTGCTCTCTCCTATTTCCCCTTCCTTTTTTTCTGCAACTTGGAAAGAATGAAGTCAAGGGACTGCCAAAGCAGAGGAAAACAAGGCCAAGCACACACAGATGGCAAGCCCACAAATTTAATTTAAAATCATCCTTTATTATTCAAAATATTAAAATTCAGGCAATAAAGCCCAAAGGAACTGCACTGATTAAAGCTCCCTAATGTTTCATGGCCAAATCTTGCTGCTTCCACCAAGGGGCACGGGGACAAGAAGTGAAACCCTTCTGGAGTGCAGGGAGAGGTAGGGCTGTACCTGCTGCAGATAGCTTAAACCAAACAGTTACTTACTGACCCAATCAGCTTCATGTAAAGCAAAGCACCAGCTGTTCCTTACCCAATTAATGATTGCCACAGCAAATTAACATGGCGTTACACCAGGCGTGGATATGGTCCGCAGAGTCCAGAAAGCACAGAGCAATATGCTAGTGCAAAAATAATCACAGTAATATCTTTACCGTTAGGTAGCATCCTTCATCTGGAAGGGTGGTGAGCTCCCTGTGCGCTATACGGCTTGCTTCATGCAACATGCTCTGCAGTGAGGGTGTGGAGGGAAGGAAAGGGGGTTTATGAGTGCTGTTGCAAGGAGAAAGTAAAGGGGAGCTGGTCAGGGCAGCTTTACTGTGGAAGGGGCAGCAGTGACCACACGTCTGGCTCCTGGTTCCTGAAATCCAAACAAATAATTATTTAATTTAATCCAAACAAATAATTATTTAATTATTTAATTAAACAAATAATTATTTAATTATTTAATTGCTGAATCTGAAGAGTGCCTTCCCTTTGCCTTATACACTGCAGGCATCTCCAGTGCCTGTCATCCTGTGTGTGATGTGACATTGATGACACAGAGCTGTATCAGGGATCTGGTGGGTGTCACAGCTCGGTGTGCTGTCCATTCTCCTCCTCTGGGCCACAGTGAACACAGCAAGCTGGTGGGTGCAGAGAGCATCCCATGGGGGGAAGCGGACACAAGGCTGGGCTGCAGATGCAGGAATCCAGGTGAGACTGACATGCCAAGATATCATCTCCATGCTTAGCGCTGCTGGGACAAGCCTTGTCTCTCCGAGTCCTTCCTTAGTCTCCCTTTGCTGTCCTAGAATCTTGCCGTGTCCCTCTGCAGTTGTCCTGCGTTGCAGGATCCTGGTGGCAGTACAGAGCAGAATTACTGAGCCATTCTATTCTCCCACCAAGGTTAAGCTCAACACCTAAACACTCATTAGTTTTGGCTCCACTTCATTCATGCTTTTTCTGATCCAGAGACATTAATCCCATATAAGTTACAGTCCAGACAGATCAATCAGCCTGGAGGGCTTTGGGGCAGTGGTGTCTAGTGCTGAAGCATTACAACTTTCAATTTTCCTACAATTAGGCCAGCATCAGATATTATTGACAAATAAACCATGCAATCAAAGCCTTGAGCCCATCACGCTGCTACGAAGAGGATCCATTACATACCAGCCAACTGCAGGGTGCCTACAGGGAGCAGACGCAGGAGAGCCTTGCCTCAAGTGCCAGCAGCCCCCGGTTGCCTGCAGTACTGTTACAGGAGCCATCTCTTTGTAATTATAGGACTCCCCCATTATAATTACTGTTATTTATATAATTGTGGTGAGTGTTTTCAGTGCTGTCAGCAGTCTGGAAAATGCCCAGCCCCATTATAGCAAGCATTTCAGGTGTTTCACTGCTAAGAGTCTGGGCTTAAAGTATGATGACCAAGAGTGTGGCTGGGCCAGTCCAAGAATAGCAGCCCATGTCCTGGTGACCTGAAAGCTTTCTTTGGAAGATTTCTATGCCTTGGGATTGTAAAGGGAGGACATAAGGTTATTCCTGCTGCCTCCTCTCAAGCCACTCTTCTGGGAGTGTAGCTCATCCCAGCATCACACCCTGCATGGGCTGACATTCCCCATCACCTCTGCTGGGTCACTGGCTGGAGGACACACTCCTGGTACTGAGTCATGAGACACCATCTAGGTCATATGTCCCTGCAAGGAATCCAGTAATGGGCATATTCTCTGCATTGTTGTCCCTCTGATTATCTTGTTCAAGAATGTGGAGACGATGGGGTGTCTACAGAAAATGAGGGAAGGGGCTGGTGCACAGGAGGTGCTGGTTTCATACCTGCAACTCGAAGCTTTGCTTTGTAGGTCAAACACAGAGCAAAACCAATGGGTTTAAGCTGTATGTTGGTGAGCAATTACTGATGTTTGTGGTTGGCTCCTTTTCTCCTAAACAGGAAGAAATTCAAGGTATCTCACTCAAGATGCCGAATCAAACATAAATGTGGCAAAGAAAAGCTGTGTTTTACTGATGATAAACTGCACAGGGATCAGTGTCCTGCTTGCTATAGAGAAAGGAAAAACTTCTTGGTGTCTTACGATTAGTATTAAAGACACTGAAGGTAATTTCCCTCTGCTGCTCCATGCGAGCTGGCCTCCGCTTTTGGGCACATTATGAAAAATGTAGGAAAACTGGAAAGAGATTAGACAAATTTAACAAACCCAAGAGGATTAGAAGTGATGGCTGCCAGAGAGTGAGCTGGTCTTATGTGGTGTGTAACAGAGAAGATAAAAGGACGGGGGAGGGGATATGTAAATACCCTCTGGTCTATATGCAGCTGCTGTTAAAGGGATGCTGATCAATTCTTTTGCTTGCTGCTTGGTACAGCAAAGAGAGCTTAGCCCAATTTTTAGGAGAAATTTAGAAACATTATTAGAAAAGAAGAAAAAAGCTAAATTTAAGGGCACCGAGGCACCATGGGAGGCTGTTTACAAGGAACGTTCTTTACAGCATGGATGTGAACAAACATCCCTCGAGAATGATGTAGGTCTACTTGATCTATTCCAGTGAAGTTTCCCAGTTTCATATCCCGTGACGAGGTGCAGTTTGGTACAGAGTTTTCTCTGGATGGAAGTCACTAGGTACTTTTGGTCCTTGTTCCGTGCACAGGATTAGTTTTAGATGTTCTAGCACTAACAACTGACTTCAAAACCGGCGGTGCACAACCATTATGTGTAACGGGAGCAGAACCAGGGAGCAGCACAGCCCTGAACCGCGGCTGAGGCCCTGCTTGGGGAGCCTGCTGCCTGCTGACCCGGCGCCCCGCCGTTAGCCACACATGAGGTGCTGATGAGTGACTCGGGAGCCAGCGCTGCCGTCCTAGGGAGCTCTGGGTGGAAATGCCCCACATGGTCCCCACAGAAAAGGGCTTCTCTCCCCCCCAGCTCCCGCGCTTCCGTTACACCGCCACAGCCCCACGCTACTACAACTCCCGTCGGCCCCCTCGCCGGCGTATGCGCCGTCCGGCTCCCGGCGTGCCTCCTGCCCCAAGGTCTTCTGGGCTTTGTAGTCCTGTCGGGCTGCGGGGGCCCTGGCCAGCACTTCTGTCGGGGACTCCATTTCCCGTGGGCCTGCGGGCGGCGCATGCGCCGGGTGGGCAGCGGGCCGAAGTGGAAGGGGGGACGCGGGGCAGCGCAGGTTCCTGTCTGCGCTGGCTGCGGCCTGCCGCTGAGAGAAGGGGCGGCCCGGGCGTAGGACTATGGACCCGGCCGAGGCCGTGCTGCAGGAGAAAGCCCTCAAGTTCATGGTGAGGGCCTGCGGCGGTTGATGGCGGTGGGCACCTGTGTGGGGGGAGGGGCGAGAGATGTGGGGAGAGGTAGAGAGGGGCTATGGGGACGGGTCCCCTGGGGGAGGCCGGGCCTGTGAGGTGTGCTGGGCCGGGGGAGGGCGGGGAGCGTGGCCCCCGAGGAGCAGTGGGGTGCGGGGAGGGGGCTGAGTGCCGGGAGCGGGGCCCCAAATCCGTAGCAAAGTATTGTTGTGGTGCAGGGGAGGTCGGGGCTGCGGGTGGCACCTGGGAGCTGGGGAAGTTAAACTGGAGAGAGGCAGGAGCTGGCAGAGGGGCCCGCAGGCTCCGGGAGGGGTCCCGCATGTAATTGTTGGGGTTTTATCTTTATAAATGCACCTTAGACTCTCCTTCTGTACTGCACACCATTTCTCTGCGATTTTACGTTGTTTTTCTTCAATTTTGTCATGAGAGCTGTAAATACTGATGCTTAAATCCTTCACCTGCTGGTGCAGCAGCATATCATTGATAGTGAACGTGAAGAGCGCTTACATTCTTTAGGTCTGTGAGTTGGCCTTTGCCATGGAGAGCAGCCCTGGGGGTACTTGCATCCAAGATGCTCTTCAAGCGTGGCTGTTTTGAGGCATGGTGTACTTAAGCCGTAGTTTCATCCTCTCTTCATTTGTTGATATTTCTAAGTGTTTTGGCTAGAAACATAATATTTAGAAAACAGTTGCTAGCTGAATTGAATATAAATTTTGGGTGCCCAAAACCTTTCTTTTCCTAAGGATGTAATTTAAATGACTGGCAGCACTTCCTAAAAGTTTGGTTTAGGGTTAGTGCTTCCAGTGGTACAGAATTAGATCAAAGCTCATCAAGAAGAAACAATTCTACTAAGCCTTCGGAACAGGTGCCCGAAATGAAACTGAGGAAACAGTAGTTGCAAATTGTAATTTTTAATTGAGCTTCAAAACACTCGTTTGGCTTCTGGTTTTTAATCTTGTAGAACTTGTTTCTCTTGAGACTTTTTGACCCTTTTCCTGGTAGTCTCCAAGTCTGTCAGATTTATAGAGCCTCAGCTCAGTGAAGTGAGAAGATGCAATGGATACCTAAATGGGCAAGGTAGCAATTAGTAATAATAAACTACCCTCTTTGGGGTGTGATTGGCCAAAGGGGTGTCCCAGATCTTGTTGCACTTGTGTTTGGCCAGGCTTGGTAATTACAACCTGCCTCTAGATAGTGAGTTTCATATCCTGAAAAGTTTCTGCTGAGGTGTTTTTCTTTCCTGACAAACACCATTGTGAGCATCGCTGCGCTGATTTCTCATATGCTGCTTTTTTCATCACCTGTGGTAAGATTCCCATCCAAGGGTTTAGTCCAGGCCTTTGAGCTCTTCTGTGAGATTGGGCTCAGGACCTGAGGGAATCCCTGTCCATCTTACAGCTGGCTGTGTTCCACTCCAACAATAAAGCTTTCTGACATTAGGGAGAGATGTGAGCGTGAGAGCAAGCTGCTCTTTCAGGAGATGCATCTGTTAAGAGTACCAGATAAAGGGAGGAATTATCAAGATCAGGCTGCACTAAGAACTAAAAGCTAAACCAAGTCCCTCAATGTTTTATTAAAATGGCTCTTGTATGCAAACCATTTGTAAAAAGCTCAATGAAAGATATGGCTTTCCTCTGTCCACTCTGAATATTTTTGGGGTATTTTTTGCTGATAAGTTGAGGGGAGAGTGAGAAACACATCTCAAGCTTTTTCTTTAGCGCATGCCTGTCTAGAACATGACTTTTGCTTTAGTTATGCTGATAAAGTGTTTGTCAGACTTGGAGGGGTCTTCTGGTGTCCTTGGAGGTGTGGCACAGGCACACCTGATATGTGAAGTATTAGTTGAAAGTCAGTTTGGCCCTCCTAGGAAGCACCTTGTTGTTTCTGCCTGTAAGAAAATGCTTAGTTACTGCAGTAGTGCCATTGGTGCAGTTATCTACATAGAGGTAGTAGATTAGCTTGTGCATCCTCTCAACTAATGCTGAATCATTCACAGTGTATTATCTTGTTCGTGCAAGTGTGTGATATGCTTCATGTACATCTTCCTTATCAGGTGGCTCACATATGATTGAAGTGGGCTTTGCTATTAATTACTGATTTTTCCCTGAGAGTTTCCCAGGTGCCATTGGAGGTAAATATACAAATAACCCTTGGAGGTGTGAGCCCTGTCATGTGTCTAGCTTTTGATAGTGTTCTTTTTGATATGGATTTGTGGTAATATTTCTGTGCATCTTTAGAATATAATACTTTTGTCCACTTAAAAAAATGTCAGTATCTAATTTTTGGCCTTGGCTTTGAGCACTGACTTGTGACTCTCTTGAGCCGCAAGGTATTGGGCAAGACAGACCTGCTGATTTGACTTTTATTTTGATGTCTAATAGAAAAATGTCACGTGTAGACTTCACCGAATACTAATATTATGAATTAAGTTATCTTGCTTTAAAGTACCTGTACTTGATGCTTTGAAGGACAAACTGGACTGTTTTGTTTTGTTTTGCTGTTTTTTCCATGTGCTCATGTCTATGCCACTTCTTGATAACAGTAAAAGAAGGCCACCTTCTTACTGGCTGGCATTGACTTGATTACTCACCAGTGAAACAGTATTACATTTAGCTAATATCTGCTACCAGTTTCCTAGTTATCTGTGGTCAGCTACAATATGTATAATCTAATACTTTCATGTTTAAGTAATTCATTTAACTTCATTTGCCTACGCAGTTTACTTCTGCATTTTAAGAAGGCCAGATTTATTTCTGATATGAAATTGCTGTGTATTAGCATTATGCAATAGTAAGCAACTGCTCACCAGCGAAAGCTGTTTTTGCTTGTGAATGAGTGTTTTCTGTCATATATGATATATGTCATCTCTCAAAGTTTTGTTGTGGTGGTTTTGTTTTTTTTTTTTTTTGTTTTGTTTTTGTTTGTTTTTGGTTTTTTAATGAAAGACAGTTCTTAAATCTAAAATATGAACTTGTAACTTAAATAGTCCCGCAGCTACCCGTACACCAAGGATTTTACCAGAGTGAATTCTGTCTCAGTTCACCTCAGCCCCTTTTCATGTTTCCACAATACTACAGATATAAAACTACAGTCTTCATAAAGTACAGTGTTTAAGAGACTGATGCACAAACTAAAAGGAGAAATGAATGTGTCCATTAGCTTAAAAAAACCCACCACAGATCCCCCTCCCAAACCCCTTTGGCTTACAGAGCTCTGGTTTTATGCGTTGAAGAATATGGGATTTCTGTTGTCATAACCATTTACAGAACTACCAGAAATGAGGTGCTCAATAAGTAACTTTCATATTTGAATAAAGTGTTTGTGAAACTGTAGATACAGTGTTTAAAGTATGAGTACAATAGGCTCAACTGAGACTTTGATTAAATATCATATAAAGTAAACTACATATGCCTGCATAGAATAGTAGATATTTTTTCAAAGTAGCTTCAAATGGTTCTGTTAAGTATACGAATGTTCTGATGATTATCTTTTTAATTAAAATGAGAAATCTTTGTTTAAAGTGGCATTCTTTTTTACGGCCTGTTACAGTCTCTGTAACAATCATTTCTTAAGTCTGAACGTTTTTAATTCCAGAAATCCATTTATATAAAACTATGTTTAGACTTAATTAAGGAACGATTCTTACAAAGCTTGTAAATAGCCAGGAAAAAAGGGACAGAAAATAAAACTGACATTCACACTTAACAGAATGATTGTTACAAGGTATGTAATATGCTATAAAAATACAATAAAGCCCTTTTATAAGAGTTCATATTTTTTGTTCCTCATTTTGAAAGGTATTTAAGAAAAATATCAAAGCTCTATGAAGCAACATCTGTTTTCCTGAATGGACTAGAGACAACTTCCGTTCTGGTTAATTAGCAGTGCTTGGAGCTGTACCTGACCTGTTTGGGATCCCATCTAAGATGGTTTGGGATGCAATAGCATGATATTTAATGAAGTTTCACTTTCTCTTTTTTTCTGAATGAATCAAGTTGCAGAACTTCATTTAATTTCCTGGCATGTGAACAGGAAGATGCTGGCACTAGTGCTTTTCATGAGTGTCTTTCTTCCTTTTCATCCTCAAATTGCTGTTTTCCTTTTTTTTTTTTTTTTTTTTCTTTTGTTTTGTGGGTGACATGATTCTAGGAGGTCCCGATGGCCTTCCAGTTTCACAGGAGAATCAAAACCTTTTGGTTGTCTTTTAAAATGTATCTGTGGGTGTGGGTTTTTTTTTAGTGATGGGTTTTGTTTTGTTTTTCTTAATGAAACATCCCCCTGAAGTTCCTTAATTTTTATATCCGCCTTTATGTAGGAGATTCCACATAATGAGCAAGTAATCTATTAAGGAATAGTCAGCTTAATTGGAGGCTGAAGGGTGACAGACTTGAAATCTCTTTTTTTCCCCTTCTCTCTTACGTGTGTATATGGAACAGATGGACAAAGGTTTATAAATTAAAAGTGATTCTGTTTGCACTGAACCTGTATGTAGGAGTCCTATTTTAAGACCTAGGACTTGTTAGGTATTGTTTTTAAAGTCTGGTTTGAGAACCTTGTAGTCTTCCTAATAACATATTGATGTTGTGGTCATTGTGGCAGATAATCCTGGATATCCAAACCAAGGGTGGCATGAAAGCAATGAAAATAATTCTGTAAACCAGTTGAATAGGAGAGAGTTGCCTCTTAAATGGAGGGTTGAAAATCTTGCTTGAATATTAAACGTATGCTTAATAATTTTTTTCCAATAGAACTGAAATGACATCTTGTTAGTTTGAGGATTTGTTGGGACTAGTACATTGTACAGGAAGTGTGTTGTTTTGTTCTACCCTAAACTTTATGCTGTAGATTTTTCTGCTCTTGGTGCAGGCCTCTGGTACTTCAGTAACTTCACCTTCACTTCATTGGTAATGTTTCATTTCAGCCACTTTGCTCCATTAAATGTATGCAATTAGAAAAGCAAATGGCAAATTTGCTGTCGC